TTATCAAAATAACAATGGGTAGAACTTAAATTGTCAGGGAGGACAACTCTGAGAGCCCCCACTATTCTTTTTTATTTTCTCCCCAATCTCCAGTTTTCTCTTCTCTTTTCTTTCCTTTTTTTATTTTTATGGAATATATATATATATGTTTTTGCATGGTATGTATGCAAACACACACATAATATACATATATTTAAGAACATTAAAGACAAGTCAAAGTCATTCTAGAGTACAATTTGAAAATATTTATCTAAGAACATTTAAATTTTACATAGCTTGAACTAACAATTCTGATTTTAGGAATTTATCTTAATGAAACTGTAGTGGGTTGAATGGCGGCCCATCTAAAGCTATGTCCATGTCCTAATCCCCCAGAACCTGTGCATGTGACTTTACAAAGAAAAGGGATTTTTGCTAATGTGATTTAGTTGAGGATCTTGAGATGATAAGATCATTCTTATTATCTGGGTGGGCCCTAAATCTAATGACAAGTGTCCTTGTAAGATTAAGGCAAAGAGAGATCACACAGACAGATGAGGAGGAGGCAACGTGACCACAGAACAGAGGCAGATATTGGAATGGTGCAGCCACAATTATGGAATGCCAACAGCTACCAGAAGCTACAAAATGCAAGGAACATTATCTCCCTTAGAGTCCTAGGATCGGTGTGGCCCTGCCAGATTTCAGACTTTTAGCCTCTAGAATTATGAGAGGATAAATTTGTTATTTTTACCTACTAAGTTTGTGATAATTTGTTTCAGCTGACTCAGGAAACTGATATAGAAACTATTATAAAATCAATAAATATGATCAGTGTAGTTTTATTTATAATAACAAAAAATGAAAAAAAGCATAAGACTCTACAATAGAGGGATCATTAAAAATTAGACTGTTACCGTATGATAGAATATAGATCTTTTAGCAAAGTAATAGTCAATATATTCAAAATACATAAAAAAACACTTCGCAAAACAGTCTGAAAACTATTATTCCATGTTTATTAAAAAATATATTGGGGGGCCTGGCCGAGTTGCTCAGTTGGTTAAGAGCTCGCTCAAGAGTTTGAGCTCTGAGCAACAGCGGTTCAATTCCCAGCCCAAGCTGAGCTGCCTCTGAGCTGCCAACAGGTGGCAGGATGGCTCAGCTAAAATATATATATATATATATATATATATATATATATATATATATATATGGGACTAATATCCAGAATATATAAAAATACTCCTACAACTCAACAACAAAAATACAAATGACTCAATTAAAAAGTGGGCAAAGGACATCACTAGGCTTTTCTCCAAAGATAATATACAAGGTATCAACAAACATGAAAAGATGCTCAACATCACTAATCAAATGCAAATCAAAACCATAATGAAATATCACCTTATATGCATTAGAATGTCTATAAGCAAAAACAAAAACAAAAAAGCCCAAACAAACAAAAAACAACAAGTGTTGGCAAGGATGTGGAGAAAATGGAATCCTTGTACACTGTTGGGAATGTAAAATGGTACAACTGCCATGGAAAACACTATGGCAAGTCCTCAAAAAATTAAAAATAGAATCACCATGTGATCCAACAATCCCACAGATATTTGCACTTTCATGTTCATAGTAGCATTATTCAAAATAGCCAAGAAATGGAAGTAACCCATATATCATTGACAGATGAATGCATAAACCATATGTGATCTATATATACACTGGAATATTATTCAGCCTTAAAATGGAAGAAACTTTTGTTATATGCTACAACATGGATGAACTTTGAGGACATTATGCTAAGTGAAATAAGCCAATCACAAAAGGGCAAATACTGTATGATTTCATTTATATGAGGTACCTAAAGTAGTCAGAGTCATAGAAACAGAAAGTAGAACGGCGATTGCCACAGGCTGGGGGAGGGGGAAATGGGGAGATATTGTTCAATGGGTGTAGGGTTTCTGTTTTGTGAGGGAAAAAGCTCTGGAGATCTGTTGCACATCAGGGTGACTATATGGAACACTACTGAATTGTACACTTAAGAACAGTTAACATGGTTAAAAAAAAACCTTATCAAATTATATATTTTAAATATGTGTGTTTTAGTATATGTCAGTTATACCTCCATAAAGCTGTTTCAAAAATTTATTGGTAGATGTAATTTTAGCAAGTGACTAAGAATACAGACTCCCAAGTCAGACGGCTTGGCCTCAAATCCCAGCTCGGCCGCCTACTTGGGCACTTCATTTAATAACTCTGTTTCTCAGCTTTCTCTTCTGCAAAAAAGAGTTTATAATAGCATCGCCTTACGGAATTGGTCTTTGAATTAGGAGAGCTCATAGTCATAAAGCAAGGTCTAGTACATTGTGTGTGCTAAATAAATGCACTGACCTATCAATCTCACTCTTGATGTATCTCTACATACAAATGTTAATGAAGATTATTTCTGAATGGTTGTTCTACCAGAGATTTTAATGATTTCTTCTAAGCTTATCTGAATTTTTCCATCTTTTTATTACATATAATTTTTTATGTCTGATTTTTATAATAGAAGCAATAAAAGTTTTTTTTTATGAATACAAAATACATTTGATGACCCATCTAGTTTAGAAGTTTGTCTCTCTTGGTTAAACTAAAGAAATCATTGTGAGCAAACGTGGGTTATTTATCATATTTGAGAAATCTTTGTGATATTTTTAGCACCGTGATTTTAAAAAATACTATTATATGTGCATGAGAAAAAGAGTTTACAATAACAGTCCACAACTGTTATTATGAAAATTAAGGTTTATAATCCCCTATTTTTATAATCATATTATTCATTAGAGTTAGTAGAGTAATTTCCTAACTGTATGTAGGTTGGGTGACAATAACACAAATTAAATGCAAGGCTGCAGAAGTATTTAATATAGATGCCTTGTTGACCCATTATTTTTGTGACACTGGGAAAAGCCATAGTAGATTTGGTGTTGGTCCTGCTTTTCCCCTGGACAGAGTTGGTTCTTGCCTGCTCTATCTCTCATTACTGTGATGACGGCTGTATCCAGATGCTAAATACTCAAGAGACACTCCAATACAGTGTTAAGACTCTGAACACTTCATCCCCAAAGAATGTAGCATTCCAAGAGAAAACAGACCTCCTTCTGACACTAGACAAATTGTGAAGGTGGGTGATAAATCAGGCATCAAAATGAGAGGCCACAAATTCTGAAAGGTGCTGCCCTAGCCCTCACCATGAGTCCCTGCACTTCTCTTTCCAACACAGCAACAGTCATGTATTTTAAATTGCAATAATGATAACAATAATATAGCTTATAAATGTACACTAGTACAAACAGCAAAATATTTTCAAGTATAAAGTGTTACAATAAGCTATTACGCAATTAAAAAGGTTGTTCTAGATGGGACTCAGAGAATAAATGACTAGAGATATAATGAACAATCAAAACACGTGAAATACCTTAAGCTATTTGAGGGGATTTATTTTGAGAGGACGGGCAAGAATATTTTATCTTTAGGGCACTGGCATCTTCCTTTTTCTTTCCTTCTTTCCTTCCATTTCTTCTTTTCTTCCTCCTTCCTTTCCTCCCTTAATTCCTTCATTCCTTCCTTTGCACAAAAATTTTCAGTTTTTCATATTCACAAAACAAAGGTACAGCATGTTAAAAGTACCATTTACTTGAAACATTAACTTTCTGAAGAAATACAAAATTCTTAAAATCTAAAATAATGAATTTTACCTCTATCAAACAAAACAAAACTATGGCTTCTTTTTCAAACAAATACATTTGACTACAAATTAGAATAATTGTATTTCAGAACAGTATGTAAAATATTGTTTAGAAAATGACCAGTGCCTAAATTTGCTAATAAAATGCAAAGTAATCTGCTTCAGAAAAATGGAAACATAAATTATGACAAGTGTTGATTAACATTCACTATATAATAAGTTTATTTATTTTGCTAAAGCAGTGTATAATTCCTAGTGTTTTTTTTTTGTTTCTTCATACTTTGTACTACTGCAGTATAATTTACAAGAAGAATACAAGTTAAGTATACATCTTGATGAATTTTTATGTTACAGCTATAACCCACCCACCAGATCACTTTTAAGAGACAATGTTTCTTCAATTTTAGGTATATCAGTCTTCCCTGAGGATACTGTTTATAATGTTGATTCCTAGGCCAAGCTCCCAGGGTTCAATATCAATAGAGCTGGGATATAGCCCCTGAGTCTGAATATTAACTAAGCACCTCCATCTGGAGAAACTGCCTGTGAAGGAAACCCAACTTGGCTCAGTACTCTAAAAGTTCCATTCCTCCCAACTTTTAAGATAATTTCATTGAGAAATTTAGGTAGTTTTCTACTGAGGAAGAATATATATGACATTTTGTGTTCCCGTGTAATTTTAAGTATTACTGTTATTTTTTCCTTCTTTGAGCTAGTCTCCTAAATGAGGTTTCTAACAGTCCACGGCAAAATGAAAATTAAGAAGTTCCTAGTGAGTTTTTCATAAAGTTAAATGTATTTAAGAATTATCTATCCTCTATTTTGAGATTATGGTATTCCTACTTTTAGGACTTTAAAATAAGGCTTATTTCTTTTATGAAATAATCCCAACCCTAAACTAGTAAAAAATTTTTTTTTGGTTTGGGGTTTTTTTTGTTTGTTTTGTTTTTAGAAAAATAAGGACTTAGAAACTCTCCATTGTTCTCCAAATTTCAAAAATATGTGCTATTGGGGCTTCTAATCTCCTGAAATTTGAACTGATTGCCATCAGGTAAAGCAAAGTGCCACAACCTGTACAATTTAAAAATTAGGGGTATTTCTACTGCTCCAAAAAGTGACATTGGCATCTTTTTTCTCCTTATGTAAGTACAATAACATATCCTCTCTGTACAAAGTTTTCAAAGAATGGAAAAACATAAAACCACAAAACCATTGTTAATATATTGATTTATTTGTTCCAGTGTTTTTCTATGTACAATTTTTTAACAAGTCAAGAATATTTATATATATTCTGCCATTACCATTTGATACTTTTCTTCAACATTTTCCAACATCACTTGAAATCCTTTCAGTATAGTTTTGTCTGTAGAATGTTCTCTCCTATGGAATCATCATAATTTATTTTATTATTCCATATTTAAAATTTCAAACATAGAGGTTAACACTGCAATGAATATTTTTGTACGCATTTAGAAACTTCATTTTAAAATATTTCTTTAATATAAATTGTTAAAAGAAAGAAATTGATATGGGGAGTGTTTGCTCTTTTAAGGCTTTTGATATACAGAGGGTGCCAAAAAAATGTATTCACATTTTAAGAAAAGAAAAAAACTGGATTGAAATTGTAGTATTCAATATATACTGATAATGAAAGATGAATACAAGTCATGTGCATACATGTTTTTGGCGTGCCCAGTATACTGTGATTCAGTTATCTATAGCTGTATAACAAAATCTCCACAACTTAGTGGCTTACAATAGCAGCCATTTATTATTTTTGTACACACTTGTAGTATTCACTCATGAAACTGTAGTCAGCTGACAGTTTGACTAACGCTGGAATGTCTAAGATGTCTGCACTTATGTGTCTGGCACCTGAGCTGGAGTAGGTGGAATAGCTGGGGGCTGGCTTGGCCTCTCTCTACATAGTCTCTCATCATTCTGTAGTCTAGCCTGAGCCTATATGTCTAGCAGCTGGATCCCATGAGACTGAAAGTAGAAGCCACCAGACTTCTTAAAACCTAAGCATAGTAGCCAAAGTGAGTCATGACACCAGCCCAGCTTGAGGCGGAAGAGAAATAGACTCCACTTTTTAATGGAGGAGCTACAAAATCACATTACAGAAGGACATGTGGGTGGGAGATATTGCTGTGGCCATCTTCGGAAACAACTGACCATATATTGCCATATTGTTATTTTTTTAAAGCACCAAGTTATAATAAAAAGTGTATGCAAAATATACTTCTATCAGATTGGCATGAATCAAAAAGGGTCAGCAAGGATGTGTAGCAACAAGAACCCTCATATGCGCCTGATGGGCATGTAATCTTGAATGCCCATTTTAGAAAAATATTAAACACCCACTTTAGAAAACAGTTTGGTGTTAACTAGCAAAGTTCATAGGTACGTACCTTGAAGAAATGGCTGCACAGGTAGAGCAGCCTGAGAAGATTCAAAGCAGCATCATTCATAGTTCATTACAGCCCCAAACTGGAAACAACCCTAAAGGTCATTGACTCTAGAACGGATTTGAAGAAAATGTGGAATATTATAGAGCAATGAAAGCAAACAAACTATACACTCAGCAACATGATGAATCCTTTCAACATAATGCTGAATATAAAATATAAGTTGCAAAAGGATACGACAATGTGATTTCATTTAGGTTAAGTTTAAAAATAAGCAAAACCAAACTACGTTGTTTAGGGTTGCACATGTAAGTAATATAACTATAAAAAACAGCAGAGAAATATTTACCATGTTGAAGCTGAGGTATGAGTTTGGCCTGGTAAGGGGGAAGGTGAATGGAGGAGCAGGCAGAGGAAAGAGTGTAACTGGGTGATAGGGAGGAGATGGCTGAAGTTGAGAAACCTGAAGCCGGTGAGCAGAAGGGTAAACAGGAACTTGGAGGCCAATTTAAGGATTTTCAAACTTCATGCTAAGAACAATGAAACACCATTGATTAGTTTTAAGCAGAGGACAGACAGTATGGTCAGGTTTTCGTTTTCAAAGGGTAATGTTGTCTGTTGCATGTAAAGTAGATTAAAGAAAGTCAAGCATGGAGACAGGACTATAACTAGGAATCTATTTTAAATGGCTTCAGGCGAGAGATGATATGGCTTCCACTGGTGTGGTGACAGTGGATAAGGAGAGAAAAGGACAGATCTGAGCTAGGCTTGCAAGGGTCAATAAGGCTTTGCTGTTTGGGGAGTTTAGAAAACAGAAGGAGCTGGCGTGACTTCAGTTATCTGGCACGATCAACAAGGTGCCCTGGACGGAGAAAGGGAACACTAATGGAGAGCCGGATCTTGAGTTTGGATTCCTGGGAGACAAGGAAGTACAGATGTTACCCAAGCAGTTGAACAGATGACCTGGAGCTCAGAAGCACCTGAACCAGAGAAAGAGATTTGATCACTTTTTTCTTTTCATGTACCATGGAAGTAAATAAAATAGGGCATACCTGCAGTACCATGAGCAGGTAAAATGACTCAGGAAAACACAGGTAGAAGCAAGAAGCAATGAAAATGTTAATGTTATTTATGTGCCAGGCACTGTACGTGATGCCAGGGCACAAAGGTGAATAAGGTATGGTTCCTAGTTTATTGTCAAGTAGAAGAGACAGACACTTCAGCAGATCATGTGTAGCTTACCTGGTAAATGACAAGAAGTACAAGATGCCAGTGAAATCCCAGCGGAGGGCAGGTAAGTTTGGAAAGTTGCATAAGAATTAGCCAGAGGAAAACTGGGAAAAACATTTCAGGCAGAAGCAGTGAGATGCACAAAAACCCTGTCTTAAAACAACGTCACACGTGTGTGACCACAAGCAATCCAGCAGTATGAATGTACAGGGTTTGAAAGTTAAGCAGCAGGAGGTCAGACCAAAGAGAAAGGCCCCGGTTATGGTGGGTCTCGCGTGCCCTGCCAGAGAGTTCAGGATTTTTTGCGTAGGAATACGGGAGGGACGTGGTCCTATTTGCATGTTAGGGCGATTATTTAAGTCAATCATGAAGAGTGAGGGCAAAGCTGAACCCAGCAGAACTGGTTAGGAAAGAGTTAAGCTGCTACGTGTGTAGGGAGCGGTGATCGGGGATAAATTGGAGCAATACATTTCATAAATGCTATTTAGAACCGCTCTTTGATTCAGAGCCTGAGTGGAAGGACATATTTGCTTAGCCCAAGGTTTCTCCCAGCTTTAAGTGCAGTTAGTTGACTGGAATTCGGAAGAGATGGCAGAAGCTCAGGTTTTACCATCTCTGAATTCCTACAAAACAAAAACAAGCAAACAATGACAAAAACAGAGCAACTATACGGCGAAGCAAAAACGCCTGGGTAACATTTACGACGAAGCTAACGGACTCCAAAATACAAGTGGGTGGGGCCAAACCCCCAACAGTCACAGATTCTCAGAGTCTGTGAGGAAGAAAAAAGGCAGCGGGCGACAGCCACAAAGCGCAGGCCCGGCGTTAGCCGCGGGCAGGTGAGCTCAGGTGTGGCAGGTACGCTCCGCCGCCGCGATCCCGCGGCCGGCTACGGGCTCAGCAACCCGCAGCCTGCCTGGGAACGAGGGCTTTGTCCGCTCCCGCCGGGGCGACGATCCAGCCCGCAGGACGGCAGGGCCAGAGCAGCAGAGCCCCCTCTGTGACTCACCGGTACTCCGAGCTGGGACTTGGCCCCACAATAAGGAGGAAATTTGCTGCGTGTAGAAAAAAATCTCAGCAGCACCTGGACGACTGGGACAACGTAAAGAAAAGGTCCCGGGGGTTGGAAGCTGGGCCAGCAAATCCCAGAGAGCAAGCCACCAAGGCTTTGACTACTGCACCAAAACAGTGGGAGAGGGAACATGCTCAGGTCAAAAAAGCCTTTCTCCATCCGTCTCACTGTAAAAGTTCAGGGGAACACAAACAAACAAACAAACAAAAAAACACCCATGAATTTCCCAGATCAATGAGCACAAGGAGAGCATGGAAGGAAAATCCAATGCAAAATTATTATAAGATGGAGGAGGAACACGGAGCAAACTAACATCCTTACAAACTGTCACCTACCATTTCAGAGCAAGACATGAAGACAATGAATTAAAATAGGAAAAACATCATGAATCAGACTTAGAAAAGCTCGACATTGAGGTGACAGAACTCAGGAAAGAAATACAAATAAAAGAAAAAAAATCATTTCACAAAGATGAAACCCTAGGAATATAAGAGCCAATAAACACAACAGACAATGCCTTAAGAGAAATAGCAAGAGAAAAAGAGGAATTTAAAAAAATTAAGAAATTATTTTAAAAGTCAAAAAAAGAAATGAAGAATGAGAGAGCACATCTAATACACAGATTTTTTTCCGGCTACTGCAGAAAGTGTGCTCTGCTTTTTACCTGTTGCTGCTTTACAGCCTTTCTCTTTGGCATCTTCGTATCTTGTGGCTCCACTCAGTCCTTGTCACGTGGCAGGCACAGAATACTGTTGTTAAATAAGTGGTGTTTAACTCCTGGGACAACTCCCTCATCTCCTATCTTTAGGACTCCAAGAAGCCTTCAAAGATAAGAATACCAGATCCGCTTTTCACTGGCATTGAGTTAATTTGCCGTTGTCACTTGAGAGAATAAAAAGGCGAGCTCTCCGTTACAGAGATCAAATACCAGGAATCAAAGCATTTTTCATGTGCTTTCCTTTTTTAATGGCTCTACTTCCCCCGTGTGCCCACTGTATCCTGGTATTTAAGTAAGCTTTTTCTGTCATGTAAGAAATTTTCAGGACACAGATGTATTCATTCGGCCTAAATCACATCTATGAATTCATTCAAAGCAACTAGTTATTATGCAACAGTTATTGGGCTGTAATGAAGAAAACCACAGATTAGGTTCCCACCTTCACAGAATTACCTCGAGGTGAGAAAGGTATAAACCAGTAAACAAATAAGTAAGGCCATTATAGATTGGGATAAGCACTAGGAGGGAAATAAACAAGGTGATGAAATGCTGGGGGGAGCTATTCTAGATAGCAAAGTCATGCAAGACTTCTCTATCATTTGGTTAGTTTGATAATATTACAATTTTCAAGTGCCTTCCCATGAATCCCAGTTGTTATTCCTCTAAGAAATAAAGAAAAGGGAAAGAAGACCTTTATTTCTTCCAAAAGGTGCATGGGTATAGACATAACTATGACTCATCCCTGACCTCATAGAACTTGTAGTTTAGTGGAAGAGATAGACATGTAAACAGATAAGTAAATACAACATGACAGAGGATATACTATAGGTATGAACAATGTTACTCTTCTTCCTAGTTTACTCTTCTGCCTTGAGCCTCTGGAGTCCCTGGAAAACGCAATTTTCCTTCTTGGGTTCCAGGCTGAAATTCTGCCTGGCTCCCTACATGATCTCAGTATTTACTTTTTATTTTTTGGCTAGATCAGAAGAAACTTGACTTGCATACAACGCTAGCTTAATTCCCTCATAGCCAGTAAATCCTAGCATTGGCTTGAGATACATAACTTAAAGTAACATGGAACATTTATTTTAAAATTCCTTTCTTAAAGAGCCCATATTTTTCACATCAACATCTTCACATAAATGCTACGTAAGATTTTAAGCCAGATATTGAAGCTGTTTGCTGTCACACAAGGGAATGTGTTCAAATGATCATTGTCATTATTAGAAGTCTGGACTGCATTTCGGGATCACTGTATTTCTATCCGTAAGTACGTTAACCAACCATGTTGATCTGGTAATCAGGCAGTGAGTGTTTACTTGGACTGCAGGAATTTTTAAAGACAGATAACACAGATCCAGAATATTGTATTAAACACACAGAGAATTAGAAGTATTTGAACAGATACATAGGTATTTTATCTTCTGAAGTGGCTAGTGGTTTATATTAGCTTGTCAACTCGTAGATTCATCACAAGTCTTTAAGATTCCTCTCAGATACTCTCAACTATTGGGAATTGCTACTTTTCCCCCCAAAGAATGGGGTAGCCACATTCCAGGGCCTAGTGCTGGGGACAGATGAGAAAGAGCAGTGATAGTTCCCTCTGCCCAATATCCTTCACTTCACATATTACAAGATCCCAGGATAGAGTAGAATTAGCTGTCAATCCTAGCTTTATATGAGGTGGTAAGTGAAGAAAGAAGGGGTTTTAAGTCCTCTGAAGGCGCCTTTTCTGTGTGTGATTCTTTAATGAGGATGACAGCAGGACTGGGGCTTCTGGAAATTCTCACACAGGCATTAGGTGTAATCAGTAAGTAGGGAGTTCCCATAAGGTCCCTCCAGAGCAAGGCCGTAAGGTCAGGAAAAAGTCACCTGCTAAAGATACATACTCCAAGAAGCAATAATTATTTTGCAAAAGCAAGCAAGCAAACAAAAAATACCTTAGCAGACACCTAGATGTAAGAAGTGTCCATGCTTTCCATCTATTTAAATCACTCCATTAATACCGCATACATACCTCTATCATTGTACTTATCACACTGCAGCTTAATTAGTTTATGTATCTGTCCCTTCTGCCTACCCATGAGCTCTTTTATGTAGGAACAGCATTTTAGTTGTTTTCTTACCCTCAGAATCAAGCACTGTATCTGGCATAGAGTAGGAACCAAATATGTGTGTTGAATCAATGAACTGGAAATATAACTAAAGAAAGCAGACATATTCAAATGCAATAGACATCTGCATCCAGTTTATTAAAAGGGTGATTAGATTAAGAATAATGTTATTTAGTGATATTTAGCAATATCCAGGAGAGCTAATTAGCAGACGTGAGCATTCTAAAACATGTGTCCATGACAGTAGACTATTGCAAAATATGGATGAATTTCTTTCAAGAACATGTAGGTCTGGATATCCAGGCTTTCTGCATTTCTAGGGTACATCTTATATGTCAGGAACTAAGATAAGAATTGGGAGTATAAAGATAAATATTCATAGTCCTTCTACTCAATGTATTTAAAGTCTTGTAGGAGTTTTAAAAATGGGCTCAAATGTTACAGGCTCAAATATTACAGGTTCTGAGGTGAAAGTTTGTTGCCAGCAGAGAGAGGCAGGAGGGAATGATTACTTCAGATATGCCCTGCTAATGGGAAACACAAAATCCGTAAGATGATGCTTCATCTAGGTCTTAAAAAGTGAAAAGGTGGTCAACAGGGTGCGGGGGGCCAGAGGGGCATTTTAGACTAAAGGAGCCACTGGAGAACAAGTGATGAAACAGTAAACTTGGTGGCCTGTGTGAGCAGTGCTTAGTGTGGAAGGGGTATAGGATTCTGGAGAGAGTAGGTTCTAAAGAGTTTTAGATAGTGTGCTAAGAAGTGTGCTTTATACCATATGAAATAGGAAGTGCAAAGTATATTAGTTTGCTAGGGCTACCATAACAAAGTACAGCAGACTCAGTGGATTAAATAACAGAAATTTATTTTCTCACAGTTCTGGAGGCTAGTAGTCCAAGGTCAAGGTGCTGGAAGGGTTGTTCCTTCAAAGGCCTCTCCTTGGCTTCTGGATGGCCCTCTTCTTCTTGTGTCTTCACTTGGTCTTTCCTTTATACATGTTTGTGTCCTAATCTCCTCTTCTTATTATGACACCAGTCATATTAGATTAAGGCCCACTGAATGACCTCATTTTAACTGAATTACCTCTTGAAAGATCCTATTTCCAAATACAGTTACATTCTAAGGTACGGGGCGTTAGGGACTTCAACAAATAAATTTGAGCTGCACAATTCAACTCATAACAGGGTTAGATGCTCATTTACAAGGTCGGACAATTAAGTTCGTGAACTCGTCCTGGAAAAAGTGCTACATACCTCAATGATGAATATCACTATGGTCACCTTCGAAGTACTCCCCTTGGGAAGCTATGCACTGACACCAATGCTTAGTCCACCCTTCAAAGCAATTTTGGAACTCTTTTTCTGGAATGGCCATCAGAACTGTCATCATATTACGCTTGATGTCCTGAATACCATCAAAATATCTTCCTTTCAATATTTCCTTTATCTTTGGGTAAAGAAAGAAGTCCTTGGGGGCCAGATCAGGTGAGTAGGGAGGGTGTTCCAATACAGTTATTTGTTTACTGGCTAAAAATTCCCTCACAGACAGTGCCATGTGAGCTGGTGCATTGTCATGATGCAAGAACCATGAATTGTTGGTGAAAGGTTCAGGTCATCTAACTTTTTCACTCAGCCTTTTCAGCACTTCCAAGTAGTAAACTTGGTTAACTGTTTGTCCATTAGTACAAATTCATAATGAATAACCCCTCTGATATCAAAAAGGGTTAGCAACATCATTGCAAAAAGTTCATGAACTTAATTGTCAGACCGCATAGATTACCCAGACAGGGTGGAGGACAGGTAGACAGGTGCAGGACCATGGACAGGGAGACCCTTTGGAAGACCATTGCAGAAGTCTAAGTGAGAGATGATCATGGCATGAGCTGGAAAGACAGTGGAGGATGTATCAAACGGAGTCACCAGAAAAACTGTCCTGCAGGAGAGAATTCCAACATCTCAGCATAGTCCACAGCACCCTTGACAATGGTCCCCTACATGTCCTGCCACTCAATGTCACACATGTTATTCTCTAGGCATGGAGACCTTCTCAAAGTCTCCAATTACTGTGTGCCTTTTCTCAAGACTAAGCCTGTGTGCCTGTGGTTCCCTCTGGCTGAAACATCCTTTCCCCTCTTCTTAGGCAGCTGAAGACCTACTCAGGTAGAGAGATTCAAAGATTGCCTACTCCATGAAGCTCCAGCTTTCTCTGGCAGCAAGTCACTTCCTCCTCTGGATACCCAGCAGCACGCTGTGCATAGACTTTCCCATATTTTGCTATGATTATTTTACTTTTTACGTGCTTGCTGCCCCCATTAAACTGCAAACTCCTTGTGGGCTGGGTTTAGTTTCCTTTCTTTGTTTCCTTAGAGCCTGAGATGGTGATCAGCGAATTGACAGCATTCACTAATACTTGATGAAAGTGTGAGACTCAAAGTCTTCATCTGATACCACCTACCTACTAGCAGGTGAGCCCTTGTCTGTCCTTCCTCTGCACTATCTCTTTTTAACTCCAACACTAGAAAGAGACTAAAGTAAAAAAGTCAGATTTTCCATATTTGGGGCTAAATCTCTCTTATAAAAAGAAACAAGATATTTTCACAAACCAGCAAGGAAAATTCCAGAGGAAAAGCCAGGCAAATCAGCAGCGTTTCCAATCTGTCACCACTTTAATCCATCTTGTAAATCATTTCCAGTTTAATTTTAAAGGACAAAACACCACTGTCTTCGTGTCTTTTTCTTTTTAAGAACTTAATGAGTGGCTCCCGTTGCATATCTGATCAAATCCAAGTTTCCCAGCATGGTTTGGAAGACCTTCCACAACCTGGCTGCATTTCACCTATACAATCCACAGTCCACGCATCTGTCAGAATTACCTTCCTGAGACACAGATAGGATTATTCACTC